ACGACCTTCACCCATCTGTTTAATGGATTAAATCTATTTTGTATGAAATTTTGACGTGTTAGGAAATATTTCTCGAATGGGTTGCCTGAAAAAATCCCGGCCAGGATATCTTTAATTGACAGTTCGCCGTGTTAAAAAAAAAACTACAAAAAATTGAATGGAACGTGAACTAGTTGGGCTGAAACGCAAACTGGTAGCATTCAGAACTAGTAGCTTTCCCTACGGGGACCTATTGGAGCGCACACAATTATGTGGCAGAAAAAAATATATACAATTGCATTTGCTACACACACTAGAGAGCAATTTCCAATACAAGTAGTATAAAACAAGAAGTGTACAAATAGAAGGCGGGACATGGAACGGTTTATATGTAGATGTATCCAGTGTGTTCGAGGAGAATCTGCTGGTCACAACTGCACATGTATTTTAGTAGTAGGAGGTGGTTTAACGTACATACATATACTTACATATCGTCGTTTAAAGTACAAAACCGCGTATCAAGATAATGCAAAACCGCTATGTGAGGTTGCCAAGAGCTTGAGTGAGCAAATCCAATTTTTGGCAAAAACGGTCAGTTACGCGGTTTTGTGCTTTAAACGACGATATGTACGTATTATATTATCCAGTCGCTAGTAACATGTGTAACATGCATATTTCTCCGAGTGTTATAGTACTAGGAATGCCAGTTACCGTAGAAATTCAAAGTACTGTAGGTAGCTTTTTTCCTCAATTAAAATATAGGGCACTTGGTCAGATAGGTGGACCAGGGACCGATCTATTCGAAAAAAAATCTTCTTTATGGTCTGATTTGCTTGAAATTTGGGGCATAGGTAGCTTATTGCCCGCATTAACATATAGGATACTTTTTTCTGATAGGTGGACCAGGGACTGATCTATTCAAAAAAATTGTACATATTGTTTTTCTTGAAATTCGGTACACATATTATAGATATACATAGAATAGAATTGAATGATTGTTTTACAGTTGAAAAGGTGTTTTAAGGCGCCGCAAAGCAATCGGGTATTGGCTATTTACGTATACTTATTATCTATACCAATTATATAAAGAGAAGTCCCCTATCTTTATAAGAGGTGATCTCGCAAACGACTGTACGGATTTCTTTGAAATTGTGGACGCCTTTTGGTTATAGGCTGATAGTAATTTCGTTATGTCATGGGAGCATGGTATCTACCATACAAATCGAATTTTTCATACCGCATTTCTCTGGAAGTATTTGTGGTCGAGTCTTGGAACTTGATATGGTATCAATCCCGTAATGGAGAAAAGTGTTAATACATATATAATTTTTCGGTACGTGAGTTTGTTAGTGATCTCCTCCTAAACGAGGTTCACAACTTAAAACACCAGATGGCGCTGGAGTCGAGTTTGTACTAAAAATTGTATTTACGATCCGTTCTGGCTAATATTTAAAACATGTATTGGTAACAAGAATTGTGGTGAAAACGTTGGACCAAATTTTTCAATAAAACAATAAATTTTGGGCGGGACGAATTTCGCCGGGTCAGCTAGTTTATAATATAAGGTTAACTACGAAAAATAAAGCGAATACTAAACTTTATTTGTTTTTCAAACAAAATATTTTACCAAAATGAGAAAAAATTTACCTTTTTACCAACGCAAATTTTTTCTACCAACTTAGGTAATAATTTACCGAAGTGGCAACCCTGATCTCTACTACACAAAGAAAGAGTTTAGTTGGTCAACTAATATTTTTCCCTCAGCATAGGATTTGATTCTAATTACGTGATTTGGTTAAACTTACAAAATTTTGTGTTGAGAGAAATATATTTAATTGACTGTTTTCTGTGTACACATCCTTAAATTAAACAGCGAGTACTTCATGAAAATGGGTGGGCGAAAGCAGCATCACGCCGCATTACATTTAAAATCAAAAGGGAAAGTCACGCAAGAATGCAGTAAGAAAGCGTGAAACAAGCATCGAAATAAAAAAAAAATGCAGTAGAAAATTGCAACTAAGGAATGTGCGGCAATAAATATTTAGGATTTTTTATGGTGTGCTTCGTCGACTGATACCTCGTCGCTTGGTTTGCGTATTGGCTCATTGCGCAAACACGAATTGCATATGGCGTTGATTGTTACTTGGATGTTTGCTTGGCTACATTCAGGTTTTTTTTTTTAGAGTTCTCTGCATCACCGAATTTTATATTTTTTTATTTACAGCAAATGTCCTTAACTTCCGCCAACAGCCATGCAGATTTCATGTTCAAAGATTTTTAAATAATGCTTCAAATTTAACAATGCGAAATGAAATTTATTGAATGTTGAAGAAAATTTTACATTTAAGGACATTCCAAAAATACCGATATATATACATTTAACCGATTGTTTTACACATTTGTTGCGTCAAATAACCCTGCAAAAATTTGAGAACCAGGTGGTCTACTAAGACGTAGGTTTAAAGAATGGGTAAAAGGACCACCTTGTCATGCTGACCTGGACCACTTCAAACGTAAGTAAAAAACTGATATCAAATATCAAATGTCATTACATTGTATTATTGTAATATTAAAACGAATTTTCACAAAATGCATTTTAAATAATCAATTTTACTATTTAAATTTAAAAAGCACCTTTAAATATTATCAATTATTCGGTTTATATAAAGTCTAAAAGGAGTATTTGTATAGGTGGTCCCATGTTATGCAGCGTTGGACCAGAGGTGGCCAGGTCCAATGACATCGCTATGCTTATGTAACCATATTTTCTCCATATGTTTGGAACATTTTGCGTATTGAACCTGTCCTTTTAAAATTATATCCTTGAATATTCTTCAAAATTTGCAGCGCTTTTTGCAAAAAATATATGTTTTGGACTAAGTTTCACACTTTCTAACTTTATTAGCTTAAAAAATAAAATTAAATAAAAGGCTATTCGTCCTTGTGAACCAAAAAAATATATATTTTTTTAACTCTGCACAACTTTTTCTTTCATTTGGTACCTATATTGTTATTCCACACTGCACTGAATTTCTTAAACAATTTTTCGGATGAATCATATTTTTGAAATTTCAAATCCTTAAAAAATCCTACTACCATTTTGGGCGACCATGCGATTCGATTGCGATTTTTTCGGTTAAATATAGAGCTAATTAAGTGCTACTCCCTTGTCCAAAGATGTTAAAGAAAACAAATGTTTTTCCTTGTTTGTATCTCATTGAAACGAACGAGTGTCACGTACGTGACGTATGAAAATACCCATAAAAAAAATTCTTTCGCACTTCATTGAGGATAAGTACATACATATGTAAGTGCGGACATAAATATGTACAAAACTGTAAATCATTGATTGAGTCGTTAAAGTTAACAAAATTTATCAGATTTGGAATTTTTTTTCTAAATAAGGAAATGTCAAAATAAAATATGACCATCAATTGCATTAGCCGTTACCGCGACAGACGGGACTAAGTTACTTCAGCCATAAACTCTTATTGTGAAATTTTTATGCGGTTAAACATCAATCATGAAAAATAGTTATGTGATTTTTAATCGATAATAAAGAACTACTTACATACATTTAATCTAGAAATGACTCAACAAAATGTGATTGTCAACAATGTACTGATATGTACAAGTACAATATTTTTTTTTTTCGTTCACACAAATCAGTCACGTTCTTCATTCGTTTAAAATGAATTGATGCGCTTTTGACAGTTTTTCAAATTTCATATTTGGATTTGTTGAGAATATTATACTAGGGCTGTTCGCCTTTACTAGAAAGTCTACTTTCGACTTTTCGATCGACTCTGTACAGTCGCCTTTAAATGTCGACCGATCGACGAAGAAAATTCGAATTTTTTCGCCTTTTTTAATAAAACCAATGTATTAAGTATACTCTGCGTTTAACTCATATATTAGATATTAATAAAAGGATCAGAATATGCCAAAAATATCATGATTTACTAGTGGTCTTTAGAATAATCTGTAATTTAGTGAAATTCAATGCTAGGTAAAAAAAAAACAAACAGACACTTAAGGATTTTTCAAAATTTTGAATTGAAATTGAAAATTTTTTCAGTTATATAGCATAAAAATGTTGGTTGCGAGGTAACACTTCTTTACATACTACAGCAAAGTAAAATTTGCTAAGGAAAAATTTCTTAGGCAGTGTCACACGATTGGTAAATTTGTACATTTTTTATATTGGGCTATCTTTTTGTAGTCACACGATTGGTTCAATACAGCGAACTTCTATTGAAAAATGTGAACAAAATGTTTTTCGTGATTGAGGTAAAGAAATATGTTTGTGCATTCTGCCTCTGCCTTTAGATTTTCACCTAGAATACTTCAATGCCATACGCTCATAGTCAAAAAAAAAAATGGCCTATACCAATCGACCCGCCTTAATTTACATATATACATCCCACTTAAGGTCAAAGAAATATTAGTAACAGCAAAAAAAAGTGTAAAGCAATAAAAAGCCAGTTCAATGACTATTACAACTTCGGTTTGTTGTAGTAAATTGCTAAAATTCGTAAGCTAAATGCACACATGTATCTATGGTCAACTAGCAACTTGTAATTAAGTGTCAAAATTATGACAGATGGTCTAAAAAGTTTACCTCCATTCCGAACAAAAAAAAACAAGAAAGCTATCAGCCAGTGCTTTACGTAAACTTTTAAATCAAAAAAATCTACAACTAACTTTTTGTAGTAAGCGAACGAAATAACGTTCAATCAAAAGTTAGATTTACTAGATGCAATACTCAGATATGACTGCATGTGACATGGTACATAGCTACATATGTATGTATGTTTATATGTACGATTTCTACATACGAGTTGTACATTCATACATATGTATGTACATACATATGTATGTAGTATGAATAAGCGTTCATTTTTTACTGTAAAATTCTCAAATTAGATTGTTGCTCCTGTCAGTTGACAATAAATGACAAGAATTTTTGCTCATTGTTGTTGTGGCCAAGGTTGCTGTTGAAGTTATGTGCTAGTTTTTACCTTACTTACCGCAACTGAGTTTTTCATATCGGCAATGGCTGACGCGAATTCAGAAAAATGCAATTCCGGTGAGTAAACTATTGGCGCTAATAAATCACCAGATTTACGTCCGGCTTCCAATGCTTTGGTTTCCCATTCTTCGGAGTTGGTGAGTATGGCCCCATGAAATTTGCCTGTGGCAATGCCCTGGAAAGATATTTGAAAATTTTTAGATTTAGTAATGAGCAATCACACACAGACAATTCGTCATTCTGTTATCAGAAATTAAAAAATCAAATATTTTCGGTTAGTTGACCAAAACAGGGGTTTGCAGGTTTAATAGAGCTCTAAGAATTATTTGCATTAATTATTATGTCAAATAATTCTGTATGTAAGTACATACATTAAAGTGCACCACTCTCCATACCAAAAAAAAAACGGAAAATTTATTATATTTTAAGACTCCCGCCAAAATATTTCGGAAGTATATTAAGATTTACGTGAGCTGGACCCCATTCGGGACTACCTCCACAAGCCTAGATTTTTATAAAGAAAATTAATTTTTAATAATATAGTTTTTATAAAATCACTTCAAATCATATGCATAAAAATTGGCTAAAATTTTATAACCGGATTAAAAAATAACGAGATTTTTAGAGGTATTTTCAAATTAGTCCAGCTAAAGTATGTAAATTTTTTGAAATATGTTGGCGGAAGTCTTAAAATATAATAAATTTTATAATACCGAAAGAAAGCCCGCAACTTAACAAAGTAAAAATGCTTTATTTAAAAAAAAAAAAATCAAAAAGAAAAATTTTTATTTTTTTTTTGTTTTGTTTTTTTTTTTACGTGCACATTAATGTAAAAAATGTATAATTGAAGCCCACAATAAGACGGAAGAAATATATTTTTTTTATTAAGTTTCGTTAAAAGGTTTTCAAGATACAGCACTTTAAAGAAAGGTACTCTGCCGGAACAAAGTATCGGCACAGCAAATTTTTCACAATATATGCAACAATTTTTACTCTAATATTTTTCCGCCAATTTTGTATAAAAATATGGTTCATTCAACAATAAAAAAAACACAAAAATATAATTCCCAAACTCTGTGCAAAACTCGCGAAAATTCAGCAAATTTTCATCATAATTTTTAACTTTTTAATCGAATCGTACTTCTTTCGGAAGTACAGTACTTCTTTTTTCGCTCTTGTACTTCGTACTTAGAAGTACAGTCAAATGTACTTCTTTGCGATATTTTGTACTTCAGGAGGGAGATTTTGTAAACAGTTAGCGACAATTTTCGGATCGCTATCGCGCTTTTTGACGCATGATATAAATGTTTTTGCGTCAAAAATTGCGGTAGGGATTCGAAAATTTTCGTAGCTAACTGGTTTCAGAATCTTCCCCCAGGTCCTGTACTCCTCTGATCTTCTGGACGATCGCAACATGGCCTGGGCGATAAATTCGTTGAAACCATTAAAGTCGCCGCGAACCGATGGCATCATACCTGCGCAGCAGCAAAGGGCTCTGAAGGTGTCGTGCAATTGGTTGGATCCTATTTATGTGAACTGCGTGAGGACCGGGTACATCCCCAAGGCTTGCAGTTCAACCCGAAGGCCGGAAAAGGCGCACATGTTTCCCCTAGGTATTTTGGACCAATCAGTCCCTCTTTGTTTTTGCTAAAAACTCCAGAGAGACTGATAGACCTCTGCATAAAAATCGCGATTGCTCGTGACTGTCTTTCAAGAGCTCAATACGATTATTGCTACGAAAAGGTTGGTGAATACCGCCCTGCATACAATGCGCCGAATATGCAAATAAAAGAGCATATGTACAAGATCCTGAACAGCCCTCATGTATTTTCTATTAAAATAAAATGAACGAACTCAAGGTAAGTTTAACCCACTTTCGGTCGGAACCGAGCACACACCTATACACACAAGCACACAAACTATACCGGGCAGTATAATTCGAGCTCCGATAAGCTCAGACGGTGTTCTCGCTCTCAGTCGGCCACGGTAGAAAAGGAAAGCCAAAACTTAAGCGTTGATAAAATTATTAATTTCAAAATGCAGTGGAAAAACAAACATTTGTATCCACTCTACCATAAACTGTTGGATTTAAGTTAATGAATTCAAAACTTAGCTAGAAGAAAATCCTTTTTCTGAAAGCCGGAATTTCTTTTTTACTTTACTAATTTTACCTTAAGGAGGGAAGGAAATGAAACTTTTCCGAAAAACTGTTGCGAAAAAATGCTGCGTAAACCGAGGTTTTATGGTAAATTCAAATATTTGAAGTTGCAGATTTTAACAGTTTGTAAAGTGCCGTAGCAATGAGCTCGAAATATACATGCAACTTATTTCGGTTTTAAAAGTTTTTTTTTCAGCACTTAAATTTATACAAGTAATTTTTAAGCAAAAAATAAAACCGACTTCAATTCTCATAGTTAATTTCTTCATGATCCAATGATCGAATTTAAACAAAATTAGTATAGGTCCATCTGTGAGGTAAAACCTTTCCTTAAAAAAAAATAATAATTTTAGAAATTGGTTAACGTGGTCCAAAGTAATGCGGGAATATACACAAAAAAAATAAAAAATATACAGTTGCCTCTCTCCTTTGCAGATTTGTGCCAGTTGGGCATCCCAAGTGCGGACAGGTCTTCCTGCACTTGGTCCTTCCATTGTGTTCGTGGGCGCCCTTGCTTTCGTTGTCAACCTATGGATGCGGAGTCGGAGGATCTTTTCACCGGAGCGTCGTCATCCGTGCGTACACTATGTCCAAGCCAGCGCAGTCGTTGTATTTCTATGCGCTTAACTATGTCCATGTCGTTAAAAATCTCGTACAGTTCGATATTCCATCTACTTCGGTGCTCGTCGCCCACGCGAATGGGGCCATAGGTCTTGCGAAGAATAGTTCTCTCGAAAGCCCCCAAAAGCCTTATTATCTTGGTTAGACATCGTCAATGTTTCTGCGCCATATAAGAGGACGGGCATGATAAGAGATTTTTGTTCGTTGAGAGAGAGCTCTGCTTTTCAATTGCCTACCAAGCCCAAAATAGCGCGACCAACCAAAAATTTATAAATTTTTCCAAAAAACAATAACTTAAAAGTTTGCAATTTTGATGAAACTCGATTAAATTTTTTCTCATTTGTGCACGAAGTTTGAAATTGTTTAATATAGTAATTGGTTTTGTTTGAAAATGAGCTATAATTTTATAAAAAAATTAATACCTAAACAAAAGCGTCCACGTTGTCTGGCAGCCAAAAAATTCTCATGCCCATACAATTTGTATGAAGCATACCGAAACAACGCGACGTCAACGCTGAGCGGTTGGAAAATCCGATTTTGACAGTGCGTTAGATATTGAAGTTGGCTGCAGAAAACGGCGAAACTGTCATTTCCGTGTTACACACAAACAAACCTATGCTTATTGTTGGTGTTATTTCTGCATTTGACGTAGCGTTGACGCCATTGTTTAGGTATGGCACTTCGGCGCTAACGCTAGGCGTCAGAAGCCGCTCCGCCCAACGCTTTTGTTAAAGGTATGGCAGTAAATATCAAACAAACCAAAGAAAAATATAACAAAAATATGTCATAATGACTATTTTTTAACGTAATGACACGATTATTTTTTAATTCCCAACTTTGTCAGTACAATTTTTGCCATTTAATGCCTAGTGGAAATCCAGCTTTACAAAGAATATTTGTTTTTTATTTAACCTTTTTTTGATTTATTCGTTTGCAAATGAATTGTAAATTAAATTAAAATATTTCGAATCTACATTATGTTAATTAGAACAGTCTTCAATAGCGGATTCGAATCTGTGATCTTCAAATCACAAGCGGTAGTCAGTCTTAAATCGACGGGAAGGCCGAGATTCGCAAGAAGTATTACGTTCTCGCTTTGGATTTTACAGTTCCAAGACAAATATCGCTAATGTCATAATCGAAATTTCCTCGAAACTGTTGAACTGGTAGACCTCCGCAGCAGCTCATACCAGTTATTGCCTAGTCAATTTGCACTAGTTGCCCTCCTAGAATGTTTTCCAACTGGTTTGCCTTTTTACACCACTTTTGCTATCTTTTGCATACAAATGGCGGCATGTATGTATGTATGTATGTGTCTAGCGAGCAATTATCGTGGCATCTGACATCAAGTGCCTGTGGCAACGAACATCAATGTCCTGTTGCGTTAGTTACATGCAATGCCAACTTACAAATCAAATTAAGACAAATTGAAAGTGAAAGAAAAAAGTATGAATTGCAAATGAAATAAATGTTGGTATATCTAGAATGAAATCAACAAAAACAAAATCAGATACAAGGCTAGAGAAAGACGAAAGGAAGGAAATCATGGTTGAAAGGAAGCCTGAATTTTTAAAAAACTGTTCCAACCTGAACTAATGCATTTAAGCAAAATGTAGAAGACATAAAAAAATCACAACGAATGGAATAATTAATTGAATGGTAAGTGTGTTAAGTTTGAAATACTTGGAAAAAAATACATTGTGTGATTCGCAAATAAAGTAATTAAACGGCTGTTTGCAGCTCTAAAGAAAAACAAAAAAATGCATATAAAATAACGCACAAGAAACGGAAAAGAAATTGTTTTCTTTGAAAATTTCTTAATCAGTTTGCAGCTTTCAAGAGAAAAAAGTATATTTATTTCTAGGCGAATTCAATTGAATTCAATAAGGATTAAATGCGCCTTGATTTATTTCTTCAAAAAAATTACAGCAAAAACAGAGTACTTTTTCAAGCAAAAGAAATAATGTAAAATACTTCTTGTGATTTTTCTTGACAGCTGCAAACAGCCCTTAAAGAAGGAAAATGCAGTTTTTATATAAACGAGCAAATCGACTAAAAGTTTTGCGAAATAAAGGCATCCATACACATGTGTGATTTTCTAGGTGCGAATCTGTACCTACGAAAATTACAACAATGCCGATACGCATTTATGCGATTTTGCTGCAGCGATTTATTCGAACATTCACAATTCTTCTTTTCGTCGTGCCGAAATCGCAGACTGCCGCGTTTTGAGCATGAAAAAGGTCAGGAAACGGTTTTTACAAGATCATTTTGTTTTTCGATTTAAAATTTCTTCTTCGAAAATTGCCTTTCTAGTTTGAAAAGAGGAGCCAGTTGTTCTTCCCGAGTGCAGACTGCAGACAGGTTCTTCTTCTCCTCGTCCTTACACTCGGCGCTATTACCGAATCCATCGTTATACGTTTTTCGTGTAGCTACGGAAATGCGATGTCAAAGTGTATGCTACGTTCGCAGCTATTTGAGATCAGTGATAGCAGTTTCGTAGTTTTCAAGAAAAATTTTACTACCATGGATTCAGTGATAGTATTGATTGTGTTCGAGGAGTCGAGATATTGGCGTATTTAAGGTCCGACTTTGGAGGGGGGAGTTTCGCTAAGCATAGATTAAACCGGATCGGCGATAATACCCCGCCTTGTGGTTAGTCTCTGAAGCCTTCCCTAATTGGCCTTTTTGACGTTGACGTATGTGCGGCACTCGGAGACTACAAAATCACTGGGGCGGTCAATAGATATTATGACAGACAGGTGGTCGGAGGACAAGGAGATCATGGCTCGCCATGTGGTGCAGTTGGTGAAGTTTGCTCTCGCGATGGATAAGTACGGCGAGCTGCTGCAAGTGCCTGTGAGTTTCGTTGGGACATCGTCCTTCAGGCGACAGAAGGTGGAGTAATCAATTTGATCTGATAGCGCTACATCCCCTTGGTCGTTGCCAAGGTTAGAATGCCAGAGCTCGTGGTGTGCATTGAAGTCGCCTATCACTAGCGTGTTATCTCCGACGAGTAGGGGACTGATGTCTGGGCGGTATCCTGGCGAACAACTCGTGATGGGTGGAATGTAGACGTTGATGATTTTCAGTTCTGTGTGTGTAACGGCTATACCCTGGAATTCGATGAGAAGGTCGCCTCTGGCGATTTCAGGCGTGACGCTTCTATATTAAAATGTTTGGTGGATGATAAAAGCGATGCCTTCTCCTCTGTCGCATAGGCGGTCTTGTCGTTATATCTGTCGCAGGTGAGAAGGTGCGTGCTGCTGCGGAACCTAGTTTCTTGAACTACCACGATTTTGATGTTATGTCGTGACATGAAGTCAGGCCGTTGATATTGATGTGCATAATGGCAATCAAGGTGCTAAATACATTTTGATGGCAATAGAGCTGGGTAGGTTTGTTCGGGCCGCCGGTATAAGTGGAGACTGATGTTGTTGTAAAGGTGATATTGTATGGAGGGACGGTGGGGCGGTGTGTGGGGTATGGCGATATGGGTCGTGTTAAATGGCCCAGAGCAGCAGGGGGCGATGTAGGCACTGGAGTGGTAGTGGCGTAGCCCTCTCAGCCTTGAGCAGTTGCAGAAGTGCCTCCAGCCCTCGTACCCATTGCACTGAACAAATGCTACGTTAGCGCGGATCTGAGTTGCGCATGCCGTGCATGCCCACATCCGAATTCGGGGATTTGCTTGTGGTGTCTTTCAGGTTGCTGGTGCGGCTGTTGCGTGGTTGCTCGCACTGACGCCCGCTACAGCGCAGCAGGGAGCCAGATAGTCGGTCTCGTACGCTTTTTAAGCCTGAACGGTTGTCGAAGTGCTACCATCCTTCACAGCCACTGCATTGAACGGAGGTGGCGTTGCCATATATGCGGTTATTGCATACACAACACAGCCAGATTTGCCTCTAGGTGGTGTTCTTGTGTTCCCGGGTGTGCATCTGGTTATGGTTGCGTACGTTGCCCGCTGGTCTGCATTGGTGTGATATGTTGTTATGTGTGTTTTGTTGCCGGGGTGCGTTTTGTCGAGTGTTGTTTAGTTCGCCTGGTTGTTGGTTGCGCGTTGCGTTGGTTGCAGGCTGCGATGAAGTTTACTTGCCAGTCTCTATGGCTGTTGAGGACCGAGCATTGTCTGATATGGCAACGAAATAGAGGGAATAGAGACTTCGGAGCAGTGTTGCCGGAAGGTGCTGTTCCGATGATGAAAAAATGCGTATTCGGGGATGTATGCTGATGTAATGGTCCTTGGCCGGGGTATCCGGGTCGATCTGGTGACCATCGTGAGATCGGTTATTTTTATACCCGAGCGCACTTGTGCACAAGGGTATATTAATTTTGTTCACATAACGGTTGTTTGTAACAGCCAAAACGAATCGAGATAGACATAGACAAATGTATACATAAATGATCAGGATGAAAAAAGAAATCGATTAAGCCATGTCTGTCTGTCCGTCCGTCTGTCCGTCTGTCCGTCTGTCCGTCCGTCCGTGTACACGATAACTCGAGCAAAAATTGAGATATCTCAACGAAATTTGGTATGTAGGTTTCCCTTAATCCAAGGTAGGTTGGTATTGAAAATGGGGGAAATCGGACTTTAACCACGCCCACTTCCCATATAACGGTAATTCCCAGAAATACGAAAACTGCGATATTTTAGTAACTACTGAAGATAATTGACTCAAAATTGATATTTACAATAATTTTTAGACGAAAAATAAGAATATTATAAATTTTTGGAAAATGGGCGTAGCCACGCCCACTTATGGTTACATGTGTATATCTTGGTAACTGCTGCACCAATTTCTTCCAAACTTGGCACAGTTGTTGGCCTTCGTACAGCATAAAAAATCGCCGAAACTTTTTAAAATCGGACAATAACCACGCCCACATCCCATATAACGGTAATTTAGAGAAATACAAAATCTTCGATAAATCAGTAAATATTGAAGCTAATTTATTCAAAATTGATACTTGCAACAATTCTTTACCAAGAAATACGGTTATGGTAAAATTTTGGAAAATGGGCGTGCCACCGCCCACTTATGATCACATATAAGTATATCGGTAACCGTTCTACCAATTTGTACCAAATTCGTTGTGGTTATTGTGCTTGCCACATATAAGCAAAACGTTGAAAATTATTGAAATCGGACTAAAATAACGGCCGCTTCTCATATAACGGTAAATTTCATAAATGCTTGAAACTTCAATATTTCGAAATTGAAGGACGCTAATTTACTCAAAATTGATACACCCCGGCTTACCATCTAGCGGAAGGTTTCGGAAAGGTGAAAAAACATATATTTAATACTTGCGCCGGGTATTTAATGTTCGGCTCCGCCCGAACTTAAACTAATTTACTTGTTTTTGTAATTTTTCTTAATTCTTTTTCGGTCCATAACTCTTTAAAGAACAAATAAGTCATCAGCAACTCGCCTTTCGACTACAAACAGTTTAGTCACTCAGAGTCATGCCGGTGTAACTAACACATATTTATTTTCACTAACACATCCAAACCGGTATATGAAGCCCTAACCGTAAAATAATTAACCGACATTTTTTCCAAATTACTTTTTTATGCAAAGGTGTTTTTTCGTAGCTCCGCTCTAGCGCCGCTCCGGTATTTCACTTCGCTCAGAGCTCCGTTCTCGCTCACAATAATAAACTTTTTTATTTATTTAATTACTTACATATTGAGCCCTAACCGCAAAAGAATTAACCGTCATTTTTTTTATTTTCTTTATCTTTAGAGCATCTACCTACATGCTCTAGAAGCACTTCTGTATCCCAAGCAAAATAAAAAAAATGCCACTTGGACTTTAATTGGTTAACTCATCCATAGAAATGTAAGGAGAGCTATTTATATGATCCCAGTATATTTCGTCTTGCAAATAAAATGACAGATACTAACCCAGCCAGAAAAAAAAAAAACCTAAATGTATTTGAAAAAGAAAAAAAGTGGATGAAATGCGAATTTTTGTCCGTTTAGCGATTCCATTTTCGAATAATTTGACGATTCGTTTTTCCACTGTGTGTGTGTGCGGCAGACAAGAACCGAAATTTTTTTGAAACGGATAGGTTTTTGGCTGTTTTCTCTCTTGTTCTTAAATTTTTCGTTCAATACTCTTATCTTCTGCACTTCACAGATGTTTTTTCTTGGTTCAAAAAAATATATAAATAAATAAATAAACGCCTCTCTCTGCTGGCTGGGAAGTCATTGTTTTTCATCGCCGTTCAAATTGACGTGGCAACTATCCCTGACTGCTGGGCATTGTGCAATGAAATAAGGAAATATCTTTAAGAAGCTAAGGAGCTAATTAATTTTTTAGCCCTTTGCTCCGCTCTAGCCGCAATCCTTTGCTCCTTTGCTCCTTGGCTCCTTACTCCTCTGCACCGCTCCGCTCCGAAGCCCTGTCTTTTATCATGTTTATATTTATCCAACTTTCACTCACGAAAATATTCGATACTTTAAATTTTAAAATAAACTCAGCTATGGAGCAATACCAAATGCCAGCCGACAGTGACATTGTCAAAAATCTTTAAGTCCATTTACTGCTTAATTTTTTCAACTAAATATCAACCTATCAATTTGTCCACTATGGCATCAGACTCGCAAATAAATGTTTTTATAACTATTATGCTAGCAAAGCATAGACATGACAATAAACCCACCTGTGCACCTGTTAATGTTGCCATATCCAGAATGATATTAGCTTTTAGATCCTTGTGTGCATAACTAACACCATCAGACAGTACGAGTCGTCCTTCGGCGTCTGTGTTGTTAATTTCAACAGTGCGTCCCGAATACAAAGTGTGCACATCATCCGGTCTATTTATGTGAAAAGAAATACCAACAAATAAGCAATAAAGTTAAATTAATCCAATAACGTACCTCGTTGCATTGGGCCCAACTGCGTTCTCCGCTAAGCACAGGACTGCGTGCAAGTTTTCTTTGAAACCGCATTTCACAGCAGCATAGAAGGCACCCAGAATGGCAGCAGCACCACCACAGTCACGCTTCATTCCCGGCATGACAGTTTTGCCTTTAATACTTAAACCACCAGTGTCATAAACAATACCCTTGCCCACCAGTGCTACAGTATCATGTGCACCTTTTGGCTCATAAGAGAGCACCACCAATGCCGGTGGCACAGCAGCTGCCTTACCAACACCATATATCCCACCGAAACCACGTTCATTTAGTTCTTCGCCACGAATAACAATGGGTGTAATACCCAACTCGTTCGCTACAAGATCAGCTTCCTTTATGAAATGACTGACGTTCATCTCATTGCATGGCATATCTACGATACGTGCAGCGAGACGTATGCCACGAGCCGCTTCCTCGATGCAAGCGATATCCGTTGTATCCAGTGGCTCTTCTGAAACTTGGCCATCCTTTTCGATGATAATAAATTCTACATTTATTATTGGACCAGTGCCAGTATCTCCATCAGCATCGTTACCCATAACCTCATCTTGCGTACAATTATCGGCTTTGTTCTGGCCACCGCCAGTTTTTCTAGAATACAGTGGAAAGGCACGTGCTACGGCACAGGCACTAGCAAATAGGTCACTACGATCGCAAACAATAACAACATTTTCTTCGTTTGAATGCATAATATGGGTTCTAACAAGGCGAGTAATAGCGTGAGCACGCGATGGTGTATTGTGACGTGAGCACTTGAGCGGTACAGCTGCTATAGTGGCACAATCCAAGTAAAGCGAGCATTTGTCCGTGGGCGAAGGATGTAAACAAGAAATAGCATTTTTGAAAGTAGTCTCATCGACGCGTGGGTTCAATTTACTGGATACATTTGAAAAGTTTAGCAAATTTAAATGACGCAGTTGCCCAATGATCAAAACGGGTTTGTAGTAAGGATCGCAGGGCGTTAAGGAGCTGTTGAATTTGATATCAGCAGCCATCTGGAATATAAAAAATTTTAGTTAATATAATATATTGAACCAATTAAAATCAAAGTCATGCATATTGAATAATTGCAGAGATTATAATTAGTATTAAATTTGTAGTCGTATCACTTTGAATTTACGACCTATAATTTATAATGATGGCAGTATTATGAATATATTGGCAATTCGCAATTAGTTCGAATTGTCGCATGACTCGACAGTTTTTAATCGGACACATATTTTCGCCCCTTTATTAACAAAAATCAGGTTACATATCGCACACGATCTTCAAAAGTGACACAACTCAAAATTTGGCATTTTTTAAAGGCACTAAAAATGTAGACAGAGCTTTTATTTCCCGTTAAGCAAAAGATGGAGCAGATTTTTATTATAACTTGTTGAAAAAAAACATAAGGTGAAGTCGCCCTTGAACATATGATTAGCATGTGCTACGAAATAGTTTTTCGCATTTTCTGACGAACGTGTAATTTTGAGTTGTGGCACTTTTGAAGATTGTGTGCGATATGCTGTGTAGATTATCAAATCCGATAAAGGACCACCGTTCATTATTCGAAGCCAAATATCCATATAATTCATAAATAAAATTGAGAAATTTTCACAAATAAAATTTGACTCATTATTTTTACAACACTTTTATCAACTTGCAATGTTGTGTGTCCAGACACCATTCATTGCTAAAAAAAACCTTTGTTTTGCAAAGATCCTATAAAAAAGTCTAGTGCAACCTCGCCGGTTGAGAGGTAGACGTCGCTCTATTCACTACGTATGCTACAGCGGAAATGGACGACATGCCATTTCTTTAAATGAAATTGATTTGACTAAAAAGTAGAAAGTGTTTTGATAACTTTTGATTTTGCAATTTTAGCAAAAGTTTTTATAAACCATTTTTGAGATTGAAAATGAAAAGCGTGGGGCGCATGTAATAGACCTGAATTGATATGAAGGGTAATATATGTCTGTATGTGGATATATGAATAACGACCGCTTAAAATCGATCTCAAATTTGTACTTTCTCTGTAGAAATTTTAGGTCTATCTCTAATGCTCTGTACATTAAAACGTTTTTTTTTTATATCATTTACTTATTTTTACGTTGCAAAATTTGGTGCATTGATTGCACACGCTTGAGTTTATAATGAACTGGTAGTATTTGGAGAACAGAATCGAATTCAACCCGTAAGAAATATGTATGTACTTACAATATAAAAGAAGTTATGAAGAGTCAAAGTGGCGTAACTCCTTTTTTGAAATTCTGATATTCGTAGCTTTTATAGTATACTGCGGCTGGTGCGTAACTAAAACTGCTGTCGGACAATTTGTATAGTGTTCTGGAGCATAATGGAAATCAATCTAAACGTGGAGGGCGTATGTGGTCTCATTAGAAGATAGTTAAAAAAAACAACTTATTTAAAAGGTTAGAACGACGTCGCGCAAAGTCCGAAATTTGGATTTTTATCGTGTTTGTTAAGTAATCATAGCTGATTCCACAAAAAAAATAATAAACATTAAATAAACTAAGGAAAAATAGCCAAACCTTACTAAAATGTCGCGCCTTAGTTTTT